TAGATGACGCTGTAAGCGGCATAAAGAAAGTGAATTCGGCTGCCAGTAATACATTGAATCGAATGGACAATGTATGTGGCATGAGTTGCACATTAAACTAACTGTAGTGTTCAATGTGCTTGAATGTTTGGGAAGGAAAAAGGACTTTCCAAATCATTCAACAGTTGTGACACTGTTAGTGGAATGTCCATCCACCACTGCAAGGTCATACCAAATTGGATGGGAAAAATCGGTGGAGACTTTTTTTTTTTTGCAGCTACTTTTTGATGCCACGTCATTTCCCCCTTCTTCAAGTATCTTCAGTTCAAATTTGAACTCATTGTGATGAGTGGTTCTTTTTTTTTTTTACAGTATTTTGAAAGTGGGACTTTAATTATAATCACCCTGTATATTGAATATGAATCCTCTTACAAATTAGGGAAGCAAACTGGGCACATAAATACTAGGCTACGAAACTGGTTTTTCAATAACAAAGATTTCATGCCATAGATAATTTTTTGAAGGACAAAAAAATTTTCTAAAGGAACAAACTGTTATATAGATATCTACGATTTAAACATTTAGTTGATAAATAATTAAAATTAAACATTTTTTATTTTATTCCTAATTCGCCCTGCATCCTCACAAGAACCATATAGCGTACCGCACGTTTAGAGAAAAGAGAAATGTTTAAAAAAATTGGATCCACCATGAAATCGTACGAGAACAATATAGAGGACCACGTGCTGAGAGAAAAAGAAAAATATTTAAATCAGGGGTGGCCAATCCAAATGATCTTCCTGACCACTTTGGAAATGCGTCATAACTCCGCGGGCCGCATATAAAATTATACAGCAGAACCTCCGTAAGTCGAACTTCAAAGGAGACGTCAAATAATACGAGTTATAGAGTTTTCGACTTACGCAGATTTTGTAAAGAAATATTCGACTTGTAGAGGTTTAGATTCATTCTAACTTATTTTGAGTTAGAGAGGTAAAATAAGTAAAAATTCAAGTTACAGAGGTAATAACACATGTTTATTTGCAACTTAAAAGTTGTATTATGTGCTACAATAAAAAATCAAAATAATTCCGAAACAACTTTAAAATTAAAAATATTATGTATTAAAAAAGTCAGTTATTATTATTTATTTATTTATTATTATTATTTTGTTTTGTTTTAGAGAATTCGATCGTTCTCTATCTGTAACATTATCTAAGCTATAAAGATCAGAAAATTCTTTTTCTTCCGAGTTGCTATTTCATAGAACTATTTATTCTATTTACTTTATACTCATACATTGCTTTCTAAGAAACAATGACGTGCATTGTCGGCAAATCCTTAACCCTTTGCACTCGAGGGCTCCGGAAGCGGAGCCATTTAAATTTTATCTTCAAGCTCGAGGGCTCCGCTACGAGAAACAATGCAAATAACAAATAATGCATTTCTTTTAATGCGTATATCAAACTTGCATGTGAATAGGATCTTTTCACTAAAATCGCTTCGAGATGCTGGTAATACGAATGAAAAAAACCTTCGAGTGCAAAGGGTTAAAGTCGGTAACTTATTTTTCTTCGAGCTATAGTATGATCGAGTACGATCTTCAAATGATCGAGTTGTAAAAGGTTGTAAAAAAGATTGTAAAATCAAACATTGCTCATGTTTGAGAAACAGACTTTTAATTTTTTTTTCCGAGTTACGGAGGGAAAATATATGCCAAAATTGCTTGTGGGGATTGACTAATTATTTCGACTTGTAGAGGGTAGAAATTGCGATATATAACACTCAAAATGAAATATAAAAATATATAATATGAGCGAAATAAAAAAAATGAAATATAAAAAGTATATAAATATGAACGAAATAAAAAAAAAAAAATGAAATCATTAAAAAATATCTATTTTGCTAAAGAGATATGTGTTTCTCCACTCTTTCACTTAAACTTTTGCAAATCGATCTCAATTTGGGTAGTTGCACATCGTAATAGGTGTTGCAGGTTAACATTCGTTATGTTTGAGCGTGAATTTCATTTCAGTAAAAAAACGATTCGCAGGTGTAAGTTGAATCAAAAGCCCTAACAGCTTCAACCAAGAGTCTGATTTGTTCAGCCATCAACAATCAACTGTACCTATCTAGGGATGGTCACAGAGATCACTTAGAGTGAAACATAGAACGTTAAATTAGATGTTCCTAGATGCCCGCGCATCATGAGTTCACAGAATATAATTTAATTATTCTGATGAACTCATACCTGTAAACTTATAAATAAAACAGGTAATATCTGCCATATAATCGCAAGAATATTATTTAAAATCAAGGTTAATTTTTTCTCACGCATTGGGCAGATAATTTTCGATTATATCGATGCACACATAATGTACTTTTTTTTAATACATTGGTTTTCACTACTTTGGCCATTATAAAATAAATATATTTTGTAAAAGTGTGATAAATGTCACAGTTCAAATGATAAAAGGCGGGTCGCGGGTTGGCCACCCTGGGGTTGGTTTAAATAAACTTTGCTCGAAATGTGGGACAATTCTAGAGGGTTCCATTCTTTAAAAAATTATAAGTTAGTTGGTCATGGTAGTGTTAGTTGTAGCCAGGGCCTGATTTTCCTATAGGCTAACTAGGCTTCAGGGTAGGGCCTCAAGATCAAGAGAGATGTACATTCAAATTGTTAGAAAAATTAGAATTATACTATTCTAAAAACAGTTGTTGTTGTTGTAGTATCCCTCATGGAAGGAGGGGAGAGATGTGCAGCTTCTGTTCTGATGGAGTACCCGTAGGTAGAAGTCTGAGTTCTGCTCCATGACGCTGTTACAGTCATGGGACACCGGGACCTACGGTTTAAAGTGGATTCCGAACCACTACAAACATCCATGGCACCGCCGGGAAACCCGAAACCTGTGGCACAGAGCGCCAGAGCACTAGACATTCGGCCATTCAGACCTTCTGAAAACAGTAAACACTAAAACACTGAATCGAAAATAAGGAGAAATTCCACACATAATTATTCATACCTAAATTTTAAATACTTATTATTATGAAATAAATTTACCTGAGATGAATTTGCTTTAATCTTCAATGTATTTAACAAATTTAATTTAATTTGATAGAAAATATGATAATTTTTATTGCATATTTTATTTTCGTAGTCAAAGATTTTTATTATTTGAATTTTGTTTCTTTGTAAATGTTGTGTTTTATGTTTGATTAGTTATTGTTACAAGTTCTATATAGGGTGCTGAGAATAAATGTCTAAATAAGTGTTATCGTGTTTTTTTTATATTTATTATCCGTGTCACATTTTTTATAAAGATTAGTACCCATCACAACATGCTTCATTTAACATATTGATATATATCCCAGTAATGATGTATTTTATCATCTCATGTAATTTACAGACTTAAAAATGGGAAGTGAAAGGGCCCCATAAGTGAAATAGTCTAGGGTCTCTTTTCATCTAAATCCGGCCCTGGTCATGGTAGTGTTAGTTGTAGCTTGCTCTTCGCGATTTAGTGATTGCTTCGTTAGTGAGTACTCTACTTTGGTTGCAGAAAATAAATGACAGTTTTATGTCAACGTCTCCTCTCAATTCTAACTTTTCAATAATCATATTCACCCTACTTTCACCATTTTTCGGAAGCCAAAAAGTCTACTTTCGTGAAAGTTTCAAAGCAGCAGAATACAGAATTTTACTAACACCCACATCCGGCCATAAGCAGTACTATTTTGCTGCTGTCTGTCTTCAATATTAAAACTTCGCCCGATTCTTGGATCTCGTGGAACCTAATGTGCACGAGGACTTATTTTAATAATCTTGTGGCATCAATGAAGTTACTACCCGGAAAAGAGGCTGGATGGGACTTTAAAATAGCATCTATAAGCATCTTGCAAGGACAGTCAAAATATTTGCTGTAAGTTTTCAGGTTATTCTCTCATAAGAGCATTCTTCCAGATAGTGAGAATAAATAATATATATATATACTAAACCTGGCATATTTTGTCCTGCCAAAAAGAAAAAATGCATTGTAGAAAATTACATATCACGAATATATTCTCTATGTTCCAATATATGTGCATATTAATTTTCATGGATATCATTTGAACGGTATATAAGATGAAATGCTGCAGCACCCTCTGGTGGCAAGTAACAATAAATTGGATAGCATGAACCTATTTTTCATACTCGAATACATATTATTACCAATTTTCATTTCGATTGGTTGTACGATATAGAATTGATATACTGAAGCACCATCTGGTGGCGACTTACAACATAGGGGATAGCATAAAAACATTCTCCGTGTTTTGTCAAATACATACAAAATATTTCATGCAAATCGGTCCAGCCGTTTAGGAGAATTTCAGTAACAAATACTTGTACAGAAGAACCCGATTGCAGCGCCACCTACTGGGATCAATTGTGAATCTAAACTTTCCAGGGTGCCACTCAAAACACGCAAAAATTTCATCAAAATTGGTCCAGCCGTTTAGGAGGTTTGGTTTCATTTGATTTGCCGCTCTACGGTCATCTTGTGCACACTTTAGGCTAAACAGACCGGGACCTACAGTTTAAAGTGGATTCCAAACCACTACAAACATCCATGGCACCGCCGGGACTCGAACCCGAAACCTGTGTTACCGAGTGCCAGAGCGCTAGCCACTCGGCCATTCAGGCCCAGCCGTTTAGGAGAAGTTCAGTGTTAAACACTTGTACAGAAAAATTATGTTTGTTGTTTGTTTCTTATCCCACTTGGCTGGCCAAGCTCACGAGCCCATACGTACTCATGATTGAAGGGGAAGGAAGCAGCTTCTGTTGTGATGGAGCACCCGTAGGTAGAAGCCTGACTTTTGCTCCGTGACGCTCTTACAGTCATAGGAGACCGGGACCTACAGCTTAAAGTGGATTCCGAACCACTACAAACATCCATGGCACCGCCGGGATTCGAACCCGAAACCTGTGTCACCGAGCGCCAGAGCGCTAGACACTCGGCCATTCAGGTCCCAAATTTGCCAACGGCACGCGGTGTTCCCAGGTGGTCACCCACCCAAGTACTGACCGCGCCCAATGATGCTTGACTTCGGTGATCTAACGAGAACCACAGAAAAATTATATATATATAAAGATATATTTATATACAATATACATTTATGAGTGTATAATTTTGTGACTGCTTGTCCTGATGTGAAATGAGCCTTTCTAGTCATAGAATAAACCGAATAAATTATGATAGTTACATTAAATTATGGCATTGATGTAAAGAATGATTGGGAGTGCAAGAAAGAATTTTCGAATTTTCTTATGAATTTTTTTGTTTAATATTCAACTAAAACCAATGATTGCTCAATCAATAGAAAAAAATATATTAAAAAAAATATTTCCAAGATACCTCATTTTTAAAATAGTAACAAAATATTTTGGTTCAGACAAAAAGCAGCAGTGCAACTAAATGAAAATAACTTTTGAAAATATGTTTTTTATCATTCGATATTAAATACATTTCTTTCTAAACTTGAATTTTTCGTCATTTTCTTATTGATAGAATATTAAATTTGAATCATAGCATGATTATTTGATGCCATAATACAAAATTTCGAAAATATTAAGACTTCACGTTATTTTGAACTATTTATTATTATTTTTTAAAAGCAAGAGTTATTCTCAAAGGGGCTTTAGGTTTTGTTAAAATATTTTTATATTAATTTTCATTAACTAACAATACTATCACAAAAAAATGTAAAGATGTATGACGTAATTTAAGAAGATGGTGAAAAAGAGGAAGGGGAGTCGAATTATATGTCAGTCCATTTACGATAAATTATGATTGTACACTAGTTTTAGTTCGTGGCGCCATCTATTATTTAAGATATAAACTCTTTTAAATATTATTTTGTTTAAAGAACATAATTTAATAATATTAGAATTAGTACAAAGTAGAAATTGTTAAATATTTTTTAAATAAAAACCATGTTACGTAAGAGCTGTATTAAAATTTTTATTATGCATATTAGTAACTTTATTTTCTGCAAACGTCCATGTAATAAATTATTACTCCATACTATAACTAATTCAAAAATATGAAATAAGTATTTATATTAAAATATTAATAAAGGAATTTAAAAAAATTACACGCTAACTTATTCAGCCTTTTATATTTTATTTAGATATTGTTTATAGTTTTTATATAAAATTGTCTTCATAAAATCTTTTTTTATATATTAATTACTAAATAAGTACTTAAATTAAATTTTCAAGGCAAAATACATAAAATAATTCGCTTTATTTACTATTCTAAAATCATTGCAGATCTTGTTAATCTATCACATTTCTTATCTAACTATTGTAATGCAAGAGTAATAAGATCTGTTTTTAATTTTTTTTTTTTCGTTAAATTTCCATTTAAACTCATCGCAAATGAGAAAATTTTACTTAAAAAAATATTTAAGGATAATCAATAAAAGAAAATAATTCCAAGTACCTTGTTTTTAAAATAGGAATAAAATCATTAAATTTGTTAAATTTAAAAAATTTGATCTTTTAATTTTTTTTTTGAAGTTTAAAAAAATTGAATTCTTAAAATCTAGAATAGATATCGAAATTTCTCCTTAATTGTTTATATATATATATATATATAAATAGTCATACATGAGTAGTTTATTTTAAGAAATTATATATATTATTTTTATAAGAATTAGTATATTATTTATTTTTTTTAAGAAAGAGTAATATAATATACATTAATTAATTGTTATAAATATATATTGTAATAAAAGAAAGAGTTAATTTATTTTAAAGAAAAAATAAAGAATTAAAAAATTATTTTATTAAATTTAGTGTATTAAAAGAAATTCCTAAGATACATTTTATAAAATAAATTCATAAGATTTCCTTCTATAGTGAGAATAATGAATAACTCATTTTTAAATACATTTAATAAAAAAATACATATAGGATTTTATACAACTTTATATTGAAGCATAGAATGAATTTACATCAATATTTATGTACCATCAATGAAAACAATTCTTTATTTTTTAAAAATGGAAGACAATCCTGGTATGAAAAAACAAATATTTTCTACATAATTATACACATACTAATTATACACACAATAAAATAAATTTTGTTAAATAAAATAACGAAGCTTTATTAAAAAGAGTATCATAAATGGCATTTAGCATACATAATGATAAGTTTCGACAGAAATCCTCTAAATAATTTTAGTAAAATATTTCATTTTCTTAAAATTTAATGCCGTTAATACTTTATAATTTAAGTTAAAAATATCTCTTTGCAACTTTATGATATGCATTTAACTAAAATATCATAATGAAATTTAACATTATGTAACAGACATCGAAAAATTATGATAAATATATTTTGTTAAATAAAATAAGTCTTATCAAAAAAAGTTTCATTTTCAGTATTTAGCATAAGTAATAATCTATCTCAATTTAATTCCACTAAATAATTTTAGTAAACAATTTCATTTTTTTTATTTAATACCATTAATACTTAATAATTTAAGTTAAAAATATCTTTAGATATCTTACACATTTTTAGTATTTAGTAGGTAATGATAGGTTCCACTTTAAATTCACTAAATAATTTTAGCAAACTATTTCCTTTTTTTATTTAATACCATTAATGCTTTTTAACTTAAGTTAAAAATATCTCTTTGCCAGTTTATTATATACACTTAACTAAATGTTGTAATGAAATTTAACATTATGTAACAGACATCGAAACATTGTGATGAAATTTGGCCTTGACTGGCTAAATTTTTAAGTGAAAGATTTATCTAAACAAAAATCGAAGGCTAAATCATGTAGCAATCATCATTTGGTGTAAAATACATAGTGCAATCTAGATATAGTGTCATCAAAATCACGTGACAGCACTTGGTTATGAGTCAGCATTTCCCAATGCTCTGATGTTCTTGGATTGTATATTTTTATAGGAGAAATAAATATCTAAAACACAAATAATTCATGAGAACTGTTTCCAATATTACAAACACGAAATTTTGAAGCGGACCCGGTGGTCTAGCGCCAATGAATTCGACGAATTTTCAGGATTTTTTTTTTTTTAATGAAAACAATGTACAATGTTATTTAAACTTTATAGATATTTTAAATCACTTTAATAGTATACAAAAAAATTATAATTAAATTTTTTTTTTAAGAGTTTGGCCCTTTTCATAAATATGGACCTGGGAGGTGGGGCAAGTTTTGGCTCCTTCACTTATCTGTAAACAAAAAACGAAAAAAATGTTCTGATCAGTATGAGTAGTTATCGCTGGAACTAGAATAAAAAAAAAAATTGACAAAATGGCGCGTTATTGAAATTTACATACAGAAAACAGACTGTTTTTTCATTATTTTTTTGCATGTAAAAAATAAGAAGTATTCAACGTAAAAACTTTTGTTTAGTTCCAGCTACAGGTACTGTTGTACTGAATAACATAGTAAAATTTGAGACGAATCAGCCCGAGTAGTTTTTTTTTTTGCCTCAAACCGTGCGGAAAAAAGTAGTTTCGAAATCAGTGGGTTTGAAGTTTAGGGTAAGTAAGCATATTCTCAGCTAAATGGGCCGTAGAACTTAAAATATCTTCAATACCATTACAAAAATTTAACAGTATGTTCTTAAAGGATTTTCGATTTTTTGAAAATTTTAGACCAGGGGTCTCCAAACTACGGCCCGCCACAGCAAATAGCTTATTGTTGCTGTAATAAGTTGGATACAAAAACACAGAATGACAATAACTCGGTTTTATTGACTTGCTAGGTAAAACTTAATGACAAGCATAATACGCGTTAAATTTAACTTAAGCGTAACAACTAACAAATAATTGCAGTGAATCCCACTAACATTATGAACCAGTGAACATCCCGCGGTTACCCTCGGTAGTTATACCTACCTATTTCCGCTTTTAACCAATAGATGTCGTCAAGTGGCACGGTCGTATCGATAAACACAATAGTAATTGCAGTAACTGAACCAGCGAATGTAGCAAGCGTATGCTCGCTCAGAGCGCGTACTCGGCGATTAGTCTAGAAATTATAAATAATGGCAGAAAAATTAAAGCGGTTTTGGCCCTTGGTACTTACTGGAGTAAACAGTATGGCCAAAAGGCTGGAAAGTTTGGAGACCCCTGTTCTAGACCACTGGTCCCCCTTAAATGTTTAATAAATTAATGGCTCCACTTACCACTGGTTCCTCTTAAATGTTAAAAAATATATCTTTATAAGATCGTAGAAATTTATGCTCTTTGTTTTAATGTCATCCGATACTAAAACTCAAAGTTTTCACCATAAGCATACCCAACATGAATTCTTTACTACTTCAATGTGTTGTCAACTTTACACACAGAATGTATTCTGGTTTTTAAATAAGAGACAATGCAACATAAAGATGAAGCAGTTGATTATGCAATAACCAAGAGTAGCAAAAAAAGATTAGTCGATTGATTGTTATTCGTCGTTTGTTGTTATACGAATAAAACTAAATAACTATAAAAATGTTTTATTTTTTATAATTTTATGTTGATAGATCATTCTTACAAATTTTTTTTTTATATATATCATCCGATATGAAAAGCAAACTATACAAAGAAAATCGGAGTTCAAAATTTACGATTTAAAAACTATTGTTTTGCAATATTTTCAGTTAAATAAACTTTAATATATACATCTCCTGAAAATTATCTAATAGCTATATTTTTATTTATATATAATAAATTTCTTAAAAAACAATTATAAAATGCAAGATTACATATTAAATTTATGTACTAAAGCACTTATTTTTTTCAGTATAAGATTCGATTTTTTTAGTAACCATAAGAAAATATCTATATATATCCTGAAAATTTTCTAATATTTATATTTTTATTTAAATATAATAAAAATTTTTAAAAAATGCAGTTTTATATATCGATTTTTTTATATATTTGTACTTAAAAATCCTTGCTCACAAACATTTTTTGATCTAGAAGGACTTAGATTTCTTAATATATTATATATCAAAAACAAAAAATATTTGGTTTAACGCGTTTAAAAAAATAATTATAATTAATACAATTTGAGATAAAATACGTAGCT